TTGAAGAGTGGCCTCCATTTTGCGCAGCACCCGCTACGCCTGAGCTCGCCGATCAATGGGGGCAGGAATTGTCGCCGACGGTGTGCCCTGTGGCCGCTGCCAATGTGGCCCGAGTCGTTATCTCCATCTGACTCGTCGCCCTCCTCCATCATCTTCATCCGCCGCCCGTAGTCTAAGCACGTAATCGGAGTCCCCAACATCATCAATGCCTGTGGTCTCTCCAGGGGCGACATCCGTGTTGTCGTCGTGGACAATGAGTACACTGTCGCGTCTCTTCTCACCTGCCACTGTATCCCCTACACCCTCCCTCCAACATTTTGTTGTTCGTCGTCGTTGCAGCCCTCCCCCCAATATCCAATGGATCGCTGTCAGGTGCAATCTCTCCGTCCTCGAGATGCACAAGGCCGGATCGCCTAAGATGGGAACGCATATGCGGCGACGAACGTGGAGCCTTCCTTGTCGAGGCCTTCTTCCTCGCCTGAGAAAAACTCGCCTTTGTGGCCCTCTTCCCCTGGACATCAGACTTCGTAGGCAAAACACTTCCGGGTCGGGCCTCGTACTCTGTCATGGTGGTGTGGCCAGCACCATCGACAGTCTTGATGGATCGTGTCCCCATAGATGGTGCTGATGGCCTGCCAACAATCCGGACTTCCTGCTCGTCCAACCCTCGACTAGTCGTCCCGCTGGTATAGAATGCCACTGTCGGCAAAACAGTAGGTCTATCGTGCACTGTTGTTGCCGATGACCCCACCACAGGCTGTTGTGTCGCGTCCGTGGTGTCCGTGGCGGGGACGCCCACAATTGCGTCGGCAGCTGCGTGGATGGGCTGATGCTCTGAGTGTGACGGCGAACGTGGAGGTCTTGCTGCTCTTTTGACTGCGTCGAGTGCAACAAAGCCACCATCCTCCGCGCCACTGAAAGAATCAGACAAACTACGATGTAGAATGCTGCGGTGACCGTCGCGGTGGTGTCGCGTCGTCGTCTCGGCCTTACCAAGGTCTACCTCGTGTGGTCTGCCAACACGAAAAATTGTGGGCGTGGCGAACACCGTTGGGCACACCTTAATCGTATCGCCTACAAACTCATCAAACGCGTCTGGTCCTCGCTCTATGCCGACAGACTGATGTGGCTTGGGCGATAATACGTGGGGTAGACCAGGAGATATCAAAGTAGATAAGTCTGGGAGAGAGATGAGCGCCTCGTCCATGACCAATAACGATCCGGTACTCAGAAGAATGTCGGTGGGGCATGCGAGCCCAATATGGTCTGCGACACTCTGCTCAGGTGCGGGAGTGTGTGAGACCTCCCCTTCCGGGAAATCGTCGCCTGGACACGCAACAACAGTGCCCTCCATCCATGCAGGTGGTGGTCGCAATTCAGTGTCAACCGCATCGGCTCCATGTGGATCTGATTGTTGCATAGCAACCCCCTTCCTGCCTACGTCAGGCTGAACTCCATGAACGATGCGAGGTGGAAGCATACTCTCTTGCTCCATCGCTGTCCGTGGTCATCGCACATCGGAAATTACTGCAGCTGGGATTGTCGGTCCGCCAGTTGGCGTGGGTGGATGCAGTCCCGCAGCAGAAACCTCGTCCTGCATTACCAAGAGATCACTGTTGTCTCCCTCGATCTCGAGATGGCGCATCAATGGTCCACTACCCTGTGGCGATTCCGGGATTGTTGCGGAGGACCCTGTCGGAGTTGTCACGTGCATACTCTGAGTATCATTCCATGCATGACCGCTCCCAGCATCCTGCTCGATCCGCTCCTCGTGGGCGTCATCGCTGAAAGAGTCATCGGAAACTGGAATCTGCTCAATTGCAGGGATTCTTGCTCGTGGAATGCCTGAAACCCCATCGTGACGTCTGCGCAAACGTGAACCCATAGTGTCTCGTTCCCTTCGTCCACGTTTCAAGCGCTTCAGGGCACTTCCCTGAATAAGTCCTGGACCGTCATCGTCCACTCCATCTCCAACGTCATCCGAGGCTGCACGGTGGTCGCCTCCTGCCCCGTCACCATACATGGTGTCACCATCTCCACGTCTCGATCCCCCTAAACGGCTCCCTGACCAAGCGTCACCCTCATCTCGATAATGTCCCGCTGCCTCGTCAGGCCCTCTGTCACCGTCTCTATATGTTGAGCGGGGCCGTGGCCGATCTCCTCCATCACCACGATCGTCGTCGTCTACGTCCAAATCGCGGTCATCAAGATCGTTGTCGCCATTCTGTGCAGGCGTGCTAGTCCCAAAGAATTCCTCACCGTCACTGGACGAGCTCTCATACAAGAAGTCTCCCTCGTCCCAACATTGTCGACGCTTGTGTACAAGCTCGTCCGCCGACATTCGACAAATCGCGATAGTCCTCTCGCTAGGACCTCTACGCCCGCCTCGTCCGCAACCTCCCCGACGACCACCTCCTCGACCTCCGGCACAACGCCTCATCCTGTCGGACTCCCGCAATCGGCGAGTGGCTCCATGTGGGACACGGCGTGCATCCTCTCTCTCGCCTGCATCAACTCCTCCTGCGTCACCGTCGCGCGGGTTCCTCGGCCTGACATAGCCTGCCTGTTAAAGAAGCCGAAGGTTCCAGTGGTATCGCACGAGTTTTTCGGTCTGTGTCACCTCCAACCTATTACGAGATTAAAATGAATGAAGCTCCAGCGGGAGCAAGCTCTCTCGCAAGGTGATGCAGTCGCCCATACACGTAGTATCCTGCCGACAAAGAAGGTTGTGTGCGGGAACCTCTTCTCCTTCCACTCCCAGAAATTGGCTGGATGGGGATAGCTCCGCGCCGCCTGATCCATGACCATGTTGTCGAATGGCGGTTCCCTAGCATGAAACTTGTCGATGGCAGGCAGGACCTCGTTGTGTTGGTGCGAGCCCTTCGGGTACCCGAACTGAACCAGAGCAACTTTCAAACCATGCTGTATCTCATCGTCGTCTGGCAGCGTGTAATCTCGAAACTCTAGATCCAACATCATGGCAACCACGTGAGCCGGCGACTTGGACTTGGTTCGGCGTGTGTCAAAGACGACTTTGAGCACTGCATCCTTCTCCTCCTTGGCAAAAGTAGCACATGTAAACAAACAGCGCACGATCATCTCGTCGTATCGACGCAAAATCTTGCCAATCTGCCTCGTGTCGTTGTTCACCATCTGCAACATGCCCGTGATGGGATCCAACAACTTGCACACCGCTTTCATATCCTCCCACCGCTGAGGACAACTGACACATGTTGTGACCTCCGCGGGGTTATCTCGAATCTTCTTCGTCGACCAAACAGTGTCCTTCCATCGATCATCAATAACCACCTACATAAGATGCGCTTGCAGTTGAGGAAGTCGCCGCATCATAATGACATGCGTGTCGAAGCGAGTCTCGGCGGGAAGCAACAGTGCCATCGTCGTGAAAGCTTGCGAAACCTCGCGAGCATGACTATGGCGCTTGAAAAACTTTGTGACCACCCGCGGCTGAGCAATGTGAGTCGCCACCCCGTCAATGTCGCCGATGTCCTCAAGGATGAGGTCCATGACGTGCGCCACACAATCCAGAAGATGTGCTTCACACTCGCATCCTTCTGGAACACCTCCATCGCAGAAACGTTCGAACTGGCCGAGTCTGTGACGAACGCGGTGATGTCTGCAAGTTTGATGTCAAGGGACTTCAACCTTCTCATCTAAGTCTGCGCCAGAGCAGTGGCATCCTTCTTTCCTCGCATGACATATGTCGCGACGTATGTGGCGCCCCGCGTAATCCCGACGAGGTAGTTGCACAATGTCTGGCCCCAAATGTTGGTCCATCTGTCTGTCATGATCGTGCAATCGAAGTTAGCCGAAGTAGCGAGGACATGTTTCATACACTTTTGGACTTCGGCATCAAACTCATCCAAAAGTGTGGTACAGATCATGTGATACGTTGGGGGTTTTGAGGTGGGCACTCTGGGAACTCCAGGCGGGATGATCACCGTCAAGATGCATTTGAAGCTCTCAAGATTCACGCAGTTGAATGGCATGCCGCTCTCAACAATGAAATGCATGATCTGCAGGTGCCACGCGTGCTCCAGTGGGTCATTGTAATACGAGGTTACCGCCTGCTGGCTAAAATTGCCCCTCATTCATGCACTGGCGACGCAACCTAGCGAATCCCACACCCCGCCGCCGCCCGCAGGTGATGCGGTAGGGCCTGGACTCGGAGCTGCAATATTGCGCAAATTTCAGGATCCAATGTCCCAAAAACATCGTGCTGCGAGGTCGAGGCGTTCACGGGTGCAAGCGTGGGTGACGAATCCGAAACCTGAATGGGCCCGTCGAGCAGGACTGTGCCCGCCCCCTCAGGGACCGTTGCAGCGGCGTCTCCAACATGTGTCGAAGGAAAGTTAGGTATAGGACCTCGTATTAGTGAAGGAGGGGGCGGTAACCACGGATAAGCAGTGGATTGATGCCCCGTTGCGGGTGGTCCTGCCACGGGCGGACATGTGGCTGTGCGTGGAACTCTTGCATCTCTATCCCTGTTCTAAGTGAACAACGGGGAGAGGCCGACTGATGTGCCTGCATCCTTCCCCCACCCATGACCCTCAACGAAAGCACGAGTCCCTGACTCGTCGAACAGCATAGGTCTCCAGACACCCGAAACAGGCACGGGGCCCTGCGCATCAGGCTGCACTTCTACCGATGGAGTGACACGCCCGTCACGTACGCACCCACCGGAAACCGCGCCAACAACGGGTGCGGGAATCGTCAGATGAAGCGGTGCAGGTGAGAGTACCGTCGGACGAGGGGGGAGCGGAGCGCGTGGAGCATGTGGAGATAGTGGCACTTGCGAGGGGGTGGTGGAACAACGTCCTCGGGAAAACGAATCAATGACCATTAAAAAGAGGGATGACCTGGAGGGAGAGATTGCAAGGCCTGCAGGACTGAAGCCAATTGTGTAGGACACTTCGACAGATCCTTTGACCAAATTGCGTGCCACACCGCCGGAGTCGCTACGGGGCATCTGTAGCCCTCGCCACGAAAAAAAATGTTCCTTTGCATCGCGAGCACCCCCGCATATCCTTAGAGGGCTAGACTACTCATAAGTTGAATAGCCTAGTTTTACGCCATATGTCATCGTGTGGGCTGGCTAGGCACATCATAAGTTTTGGTCATATGCCTTTCGTCGTTTGTTTAGGTAGAGGCTGGACTCCTCATGAGTTGAGGTGACTCAGTTATTTGTGTATGCCGAAAGTTTAGGCTGACCAGCCTCACCATAAGTTGGTGTGGCCCGATCATACGCCTTGTGTCACTCGTTTAGGCAGAGGCTAATCACATCATAAGTTGGTGTGGTGAGTTATATGCCTTATGTTTATTCGTTGAACATGGTTGTATTGCGAAGGTTGGGCGAACGCATAGGTTGCGGGTTGTTCGGCCATTCGCGCATGTGGCTTTGTCTAGGCTGGGTTGGACTACTCATAAGTTGAGTAGCCTAGTTTTATGTTATATGTCACTCTATGGGCTGACCGGACACAACATAAGTTGTTGTGTTCTAGTCATATGCCTTTTGTCGTTGTTTAGGCTAAGGCTGACCCCTTATAAGTTGAGGAGGTTCAGTTCTTTGTTATGCCGAACGTTCAGGCTGACCAACCTCACCATAAGTTGGTGCGGCCTAGTCATACGCCTTATGTCAATCATTAGGCAAAAACTGGTCACACCATAAGTTGGCGTGGTTTGGTCTTATACCTTACGTATACTTGTTTTACCACGTTAGGGCACCATAAGTTGGTGTGGCCTAGCCCTATAAACTGACAGGCCAATCACATCTATAAGTTGGGTTGTTTGATCCTATGTCTTATGTAAGGAAGGGTAAAAAGGGAATAATGAGGTTTTTTAAACGAACTATGTGAACTGGAAAGGAACCTGTGGGTTGGTGAGAGATGTTGTTGTGCTCACCTATGTATGTTTCTTTTGGGGTATCTCTGGGGATTCTTTTTTTATAGCTTAGTCGCTTTAGATGCTCGCTGAGTGTCAGAGTTTTAGGTATGCGAGATGGATGCTGGGAGGGAAACTTGGGGTAAGATAGGACTTACCTTACTAGGATTTAGGATCGGTGTTAGTTCACGATGCCATCGTCAAGAAGGGATCGTGCAAACTATCTCCGGTTCTAACTATCAGGTAAGTGTCGGGAGTTAGTTCCATGTATAGTTGTGTTTTGTCTTTGTACTTTCAGCTTTGTATAAATCTTGGCAGTCTCCTATTCCTACGGGGAGCGCTGCCGAAATTTTTACAAATCTGAGGGAGTTTTTTTACACCTGAAAATTATGAAAAGACACTTTTTATACGGGAAGCGCTGCCAAAATTTTGCAAAATTTGGAGAGTTATATTATTTTATGCAAGAAAGAATTTGGCAATCTGCCCTGTCTAGGGAAGATACTGTCGGAAGTTTCAGGGGTTTCTGTGGAAGAAAGTGAGGAAGAAAGCTAGTAGAGGAGCTAGGCTACGAGATGGAGCATGTTCTCCATTTGGCTCAAACGTAGTAGTGCCTCTCCTTGGTATGTACTGTGATACAGGGCTGCGAATTCCATTAAAGGCTTGACTTGTTCAGCCTAATCCTACAGAGCATCATCTTCTGTTATCACTGATAACAGGTCGGTTGCCGATTCATCGGGTCACGACAACAACTTCCCTGCTTCTGCATCTCAATCTAAGGCCTTGACTCTTTTGGGCTTTTATGTTTTTTTTTTTAGGGTTTTCACCCAAACTTCTTTTTCAATGACCATTTATAAAAGACCGAGTACCGTTATTTCAGGGATGGTGAAAATTGGTTGGGGTTTGTATGCATAAGGCAGGGTGTGAGTCGCAGGAAAACAGTAAAGTTGACTCCCTTAGTGTGTGTGATGTTGTTGTTCTTTGAATCTTATGTGATCGCAGGTATGCTTATAAGATCTTTTGAATTGAGCTTGGGGATAGTCTGAGTATTACGTGAATGCTGATGGACAAACCACACAGCTGATGTGAGAGTGATCGTCTAATACCACACAAACTTCTGCTTGACTATGTGGACTATCCTTACTTTTACTCTTTAAAATTATTTTGCTTGGACGTTATAGTCCGTGGCAACTGTCAAAGTCAAACCCCTTGATTTTGTCTCCAGGCCCTGGATGATGGAGCTTGCCTCCTAGGCCACGAGAGCTGACTGCCACCATAGGTTTGAACTTGTGTACCACCCACTCTCCGCAGGATGCAGAAGAGGGTATGGTGATCAACCGCCTTGGCGGTTGTCTAGCGTCGAGCCTGAGATATTAACCTCTCTTGACGCATGTCAGCCGACACTTGAGTGTTGAAGCATGACCCCCGAAATTATCGGGGGTCGCATGATTGTGGGTACCACATAGTACTCCATCGTTGCGACTGCTTGTGTACGCTTGCATCGTTGGTCGATATGAGAAAGGCCTAACGCCCGCACGGTTTTATGTTGAGTCTCGCGCGAAGTCCTAAACGATTACCGTGTTAAAAGGTTATGAGTCAGACACTGAAGGGACCAGGAGTGTTGCTATGTTGTTGTGTTGTTTGTCTTTTGTCCTTCCGTGCGTGTGAGTGTTGTGATGTAACGCGCGGTGTGTGGATTGCGTCCTAGTCGACCGACAACGAGTCGTACTTGGGACCTCAACCCCCCAATGCGTCGATTCACGTACGGGTCCGATTGAGGGGCGTTTGACCGCCCGTACCCCCTATGCTACAGCGAACGAGAAACGCCCTCGGTCGGGCCACCTCTGTGATTGCATACGAAAAACTTTAACACGTGGTTCGGTAGCTCGGCGGGGATACGCCCACCCAAGGGATGGTGACAACTCCCGTGAGTGGAGGTAAGCAGTGCCTCGCGTGACCCTGTCTTGTCGTAGGGGCTCGCGAGAGGTACGGCTGGCGCACTCGGTCGGAGCAATAAACCGCGCTCCACGACGAAAGTCCTGCGAAATCCTGCGTAACGCGGTCGGGAGGGTCCCTCTGCGGGACCGATGCGCCCGACAACGTTGCTCATCCTATCGATAAAACTCTCTCTCTCTCTCTCTCACACACACACACACACACACACACACACACACACACACA